TGCAACTCAATGGGTTTTCTCTTCCTCTTTCAGCCATTTCAGAATTACGCTGCCTAGGCCTGATCTAATTTTCCTGCTGTAGAAGTTAAAGCACTTCCTCCACAGTTACTAAATCTGACAAATTACACCTGGGTCCACTCTAACGTGAAAAAAATGTGCTCTTTGTTCCTGACCCTTTGGTCAGCCTAGAGATCAAATTCCTGGACATTGGAAAGCCCCACTCATATTCATTAAACACCACAGGAGACCACCTCTGTATTTCTGTTCAAGAGAACAAGGTGCAGGCTATGGCTGAAGAGTACAACTGCTCGGCTCCAGTCAGTGCAATAAGGACTTTTCACTTTTTGCAGCTCTATTATTGATCAATTCGTATGTGGATTTTTTTTTCTACGTAGCATCATAGTGTCAAAAGAACAAATGAAATCAGAAAAAGTAGAGGCCAGTTGATTTTTTAAAATATATTTTTTAGTTGTAAATGGACTTTTATTTAATTTATTTATATGAAGTGCTGGGCGTAGAACCCAGTGCTTCGCACATGCTAGGCAAGTGCTCTACCACTGAGCCCCAACCCCAGCTCTGAGGGAAGTTGATTTTTAGCTCCCAAGTCCCACAAGTAATTTGACTGAAATCTGTTTATGCTAAACTCAACTGACAGTAACCAAAAATTAAAAAAAAAAAAAACGATTTGAAAATTCTACCTCCCCCTACCCCAGCCAGACAAGCAATTCATTACCACAGTGGCTAATATCTGACAGGTGAGATGTTTTGTCTCTTTCTAACCAGACTGAGCCTTTGGAAAAGACATTCCAGAGCTGAGAGAGAATCTGAAAGAGGAAATCGTGAGCCATCTTGGAGGCAGAGAATCAACAGTAGAGGCATGAGAAATCCCTGAGCTTTCAAAGTTCAAGGCTGACCTAACTGTATGGCAACACAAAAGAGAGAGAAGAAAACAACAACAGGAAGTTAAGGGAATCTGTGACCAAGCTCTTCAAAGAAGATTCCTCAAGATTCCTGGAAGAAGGAAATGATAAGAGGATACATACAGAAGCCACAGAACCTGCCTTATGGCCTCCGGAGGTAGGGGTGGCCCAGAAACTCATGGACACTTTGCTCTCCCTCCAAAGGAGCCCATCTCCTTTCCTGGACATGTAACATCACTCACAACTTCATCAGGTTAAAACATTAAACCTCCCCAGACCCACTAAACCACATTCGAATCCTCTTGCTTGGGGATCTAATAAGTACCACAGAATATTCTGGTTGGAAGTGCTCTGATATGTTCTAAGTTATTTTCTACATGCCTGTCAAATTGTACATCAGGAAACTGAATTCTTTAGGAAGCTTTTAGCTGAGACACAAGTTACAAACATGCGATGTGTACAGATGAATATTTTTTGAAGCTAAACTAAATCTCAATCCATATTATTTATTTATTTGTTGTTCATTTTTTTGATACTGGCGGTCAAATCCAGGGTCATGTGCATGCTAAGCAGTTACTCTACCACTGAGATGTACTTTAACCCCATATTTTCAAACAAACAAACAAACATGAGTCATAGTTATTTGCTTGGTCTAATGGCAATTGTTTTTGAGAGACTTCTGAAAGGATAGAAATCGTGTCAGGGTTCTTATTTTGTTTCTGCTTTTAAATTCAAACTGTTAGCCATATTAGCAATTCAGAACTTAATATTTCCTCAGAACATTCATTGGAAATGCATGGAAATCAATATTAATCAGTTTATATGATGGGAGGGGGTGAAATATCTATTGGGTTATTAAGCAGGCATTTATCTACAAGAGAATCTCAGGGATGGCACCAAACTTTTGAAAGTAGAAAAATAGTACCTACAATATTTAAGTTCTCCCAAATTTTTGCTTCTTGTCAAATTTTTAATGGTGAAAGATGTTAAAAAGTGTCCATACAGACAAACATATACTTTTTTCTTTTTTTAAAAGATTCTAACTGTGGTAAACATTCCATGGCGAGGCGGGGGGGGGGGCATCTATGAAAAAGACTAAGGTAGACTTCATTTCCCTGTTTTATAACCCAAATAAATGTAAGTGGTTTGCTTAGTGTCACCCAGTCAGCAGAGGCTAACCCAGGGCTACAACTCACCCATCTGACTCCAAGTACATCAATGTCCTTATGAAGGCTGACAAAGGAATTAAGCAGATTGGAAACATCAGTGCCCTACTGGTTATAGAAGCTACACTTATCAAATGCTTACTCCATGCCTGGAAGTCTAGTTGCTGCAGAGGCATTAACTCTATCTTCATATCAACCACTTAAGAGAAATAATGTCTTTTCCCATTTTAAAGATGAAAAAAACAGAGGCAGAGAGATAGATATTAAGAAACTCATCCAGGGTCCCACAGTTGAATAAATAGTAGAAATGGAAAACACTGTCCTCCCTCTACAGAAATGTGGACATTCCTGGGATTAATGCTCAGATTATCATAGAAATATTCATTTTAACAAAATATCCTCACAGTGCAATCCAAACAACTCAAGTCTCCAAAGACAGGATGAAACTGAAATTTCCATTTGATCAACCTTTGTATTTTTGTTCAAAATACAAAACACCAACAATTAGGGTGGAGAGAATCCCATTTAGAGACCTCCCTCACTGTAAAGAAGTGCTCAGCAGGAAATAATTCAAATCTATGAAAATCCCAATACATATTACAGTAGCAACAACTTTAGGATAACACCTCAGAAGGCTAATTAACGCTGCCTATCTTCTTAACTTTACCACCTTCCTCAATATTAAAATTAAAAAATCTTAAATGGTTCAATCTCGTCTAGAGATAACTGAATTGTCTGCAGTTTGTATCATCACCAAAGACAGCTCATGCCCATCACATTGCATATTTGAAGTACTTTTGAGATGCTGCTGCAAGGTCCTTTGCCCAGGACCAAAAACCATTGCCTCATCCATCACCGCTGTAATCTGGTTTAGCTGACCTCTATCCTAAACAGATTTGCATCAGCTCAGATAATGGAGGAAGTTAGTTGCTGTCATCATTTCAGCAACTATCAATCTAGGAATCTCTGAAAGTTCTGTTTATTCGAGTATAGCCTAAAATGCTCTGCGCCTCTTGAAGATTTTTCAAAAATCATGTTTTGTTATTGAATAAATGATTTTAACTCATATGTGAGCTTCTCTGACAATCACAAGTCATTTGTCAACTACTGCATTGTTATTAAGAACTGGACTGTGAAGGGAGAAATGCTCTGGATGCATCCTGCCCTATACAGAAATGCTAATACCAATATCCTGTGTTACCCTGAGATCAGTTTCTAGATTGCAGGTTGACAGGACTAATTTCTGTTGTTTGTTCTCTTGCCCTTTTCCACCTTCTCATGCATAATAATAATAAAAAAATTGACGAACATTAATAAAACAGAATATGAACTGGATCTGCCAATTATAATCTCTAATCATCATACCACACCTACCACTACCACCCCTCAGCCATTCTATATTCCCTGAAGTCAGACCTGCTGGGCTCAAATCAGGATGCTACCACTCACTATCTGTGGTGTTTCTGAGCAGTTACTTAACCTTTCTTTGCCTGAGTTTTCTTATCTGCCAAATGAGGATCATAATAGTGTCTATCTTCTAAAGGTACTGTGAGGATGGAATGAGATAACAGTTAGAATGGGCTTAGAATAGTGCCTGGCAGATAGTATTTAATTAAGAGTTCACAATCATTGTCAGGTTGGTTTTTAAAGAGAAATGAACTTCCTGTACCCATTTATCAGTCCTTCTGGGTACCAACCAGTAAAGGTAGGAAAATAATTACAGAAGATATCTCAACTTTTTATCTCACAGAAGACAAACCAAACTGTTATGTGAAAAAAAGCAATCTTAATTCACTGCCTGTCCTCTTTTAGCCCTATCCACTGCTAGGGAGAGATTAGGGTGCTTTTCCAGATAGGGTATGTAAAGTTTAGTTCTGCTCAATATATACACAGAACCTTCAGGGGGAAAAAATGGGGGGGGGGCTAGAATTTTGAATTCTCTGATACTGAAGATCAGCTGATCCAACACTCCCATTTCAAACATGGAAACACTGGCTCTGTGGCCAAGTGACTTGTCCAAGATCACGTATGTACTTAGTGGAAGAGCTAAGGGCAGAAAAATAGTAACTATTATCCTAAGCAAATTACCAGTCACTCTCCTAAGTCCACTGCAAATGCTACTATTTAGTCTTTGTGATAACCCTCTAAAGTAGGTATTATTTTTGAATCTTTAAGAATCAAAAACTAAGGTTCAGCCACCATGAATTAATTTCAAGACCTGGCAACTGTCAACCAATAGTGCCAAGATCCACAGTGCTTCCTGTCTGGCCTGTAGGCTAAGTACCTGCTTCAAGTTTTCTAGGACACAGTTTGAGAATTCTGGTACCAAGTTCTCAACCAGTAATTTCCAAACTGCCTGTGTATCAGCCTCCCTTGGGGAACTTTAAAAAATACAGATTTCTGGGCTTCATCGAAGGAAGGTGAATCATAGCCTGATTTGTGGGTTTCAAAATCTGTTTCAACAGAGCTGGTCATTCTGACATGTAGAGAGCTTTGAGAAACCCTAATCTATGCCAGGTATTTTATGACTGCTTCCAGTATCAAATAAGAGGGAAAGGAGCTACCAAAGATCGCTGGAATGTTCAGAGGAGCCAAACATGTGTGAAGGGTAGCATGGAACCTTCCCCAGGTCCCCCCATGTCATGCAGACATACGTGCATCCCCAATCCCATACATATGTACATATCTAGCAAAGCCCTACTCCCATTGATCGTACCTAAAGGAATCTTTTTCAAAATGAAAATAACACATACTGTGTTTGCCACAGTACCAGAGTATGTGTTTTGTTGGAAAGACAGGAATAAGCTTTCTTTCCACCCTGATCATTTTCATTTAAAAGATCTAAATTCAAACCATGCTTTCCTGGTGTGTCCAGCTAAATAACAGAGGGAAAACTGTTCGAATCAACACTTACCAAGGTGCACCATATATCCTGAATCCTTTCACTGTTACCTCTGAATCTTGCAAGTAAATACTGTTTGTCAGGAGGGACTGAACATTGTCAAAGTCCTCTGGTTTCAATTTGGACACAGAGGGGAAACGGTAGTAGTCCTGTTTAACAAGGTCTGCCATGAATTCCTTATCAAATGTCAGTTCATGATTCCCAGCAATCACTATTTTATATTCATATGGCAGGTTTCCTGAAATAAGAAAAAAAAAAAAAGAGCACCAATTAGCACGTTCATTTCCCATCACAAAGTACAGCAGCCAAGATTGTGTGATTAGCAGACGCTTCACCCAAATGAAATAGCTCACACATTCCTTTATATTTCTGTGTGAACCAAAATTTATGATTATTCCTTGATGCTAACAAAAACAAACAGGAGATAGGAAGGTGCTAAGAAGCTAAAAAGCTACTAAGAAAGCATTAAACTTTCTAGTTCCATTCCCCTCTTCTGTCTTCTATAGATTCACTGTGATGGGTTCTACACAGTAATGAATCTACACTTCATAATTATCCCGTCAAAAGCTTTTTAATCATGATACCTAAGAGAAGGCCTGAGGTTGGTTTGGTCCTCAAAAAATATGCCAACCAACTATTCTTAACAACTCAGATAAATGCTATATTTTTAGTATATCCTTCACAGAAAAGACATGGCATAACCAAGCATTCCGCAATTTACATATACGAAAGGAACCACATCTTACAGTTTCATAATGCAAGTATAATTTCAAGTTTACCTTTTGGCTTGTGAATAAATAGAACATTATTAAGGGGCCCCTGATTGGAAGGCTAACTTTCCCCCCGTTGGGATGGGAGAAGAAACTGTAACGCTTAACCCCCTTTTAATATTTATGGTATGGAAATGTGAGTTCTCGGTGTGTGCTTTTTATGCAAAAGTTTCCCGATCGAAATGAGATAATTCTGGGAAGAAGAATGAAAGCTATAAAGGAAAACCCAAACACCAGACTTCTGCATAGATTTATAATGTTTGAATAAAGTACAGATCATACATATTAATAACTCACCGTGATGCTATAGGAACCCAAATCCAAAGGCAGATAGTACCGGGCAGCTGTCCCCATTCTGAGATTAATGCCCTTTTCTCTACTCTGTCACTACCCATCTCTCAAGCCTCACTGTTGGGCTGCTGCTTATTTTATTTCATTTTGGAGGAAGAAAAGGACAACAGCGCCTATGATTCTAGCTTCCTGAGACTCTTGGATCCAATGCAAAATTAATGTTTCCTGCTATTCCAGGAAGAATTAAAGTTACTACTCTCAGGAAATTGGATACACTTGTTGTAAGAATTGGTCCTTACCAGCAAGCCAGGGTCAATGATCTAATTAAGAAAGCTTAGTAGGGAAAAGAATTTGGGGCGGAGGTTGGGGAGGGGACCAAGTTCTGTCATTGGTCCACTTGGATTTTAGCAACGAAAACCACAAAGGTTACACTGTAAAGTCCTTCCTTGCAATCTCAGCCGCACACTGCAAAATGCTAATGTACAGTGGTTTTAAAGATGGAGATTTGCAATGTTTTGCAATGTTACTATTTTTCTTTGGCTTTTAATTTTCAGTTTCTAATGGTAACAGAATTGCATATATATGGGGTGCACTAATGGGGAGGATAAGAGAGAGATGAAAGCAGTCTGATGGAAAATGACACCACAGAGAGATGAAACCAGAAATGTTGAGGCCAAGAGTCAATGCATATCCTTGATAACTAGCCCACATAACCATGCCTTTGGCCTCAGTTATTTGCAAGGCTGTGCTGAGGAGCACATCCAAAATAAGAAGCCTCCCTCAAATTCATGTTTATGCAAGTTTGGCAATTATTAGTGTGATGTATGTTGCAAGCTACTTAGATAGAATGGTGATGACACTTTGCACAACCCCTGCACTTGAAGCACAGATGAAGGATAGTATTATTAATAGGGCAACAAATTCCCAGCACGGCACATGCTGGAAATTCATAGGCCCTTCTACTCTAATATCATGGCTTTGTGAATCCTCCAATGGCTTGATTTTGTACCCCCAGTTTCACCTGTGCTCCCAAAGCTAAAACAGGCTAAAATGTTTTCCTGTACAGTAAGGCATCCCAAGACAGGTCCTGCCTGTGCGAATCTTTGAGCAGCTCTACTTGTACACATTGTACTGTGGCTGTCCAGCTCCACTTTATAATCTTTCATGAAGATGGAGTCCCTGAAAACCCTTTCATTATGCACAAATGCTCTTGCAAGAGGACTTGGCTTCTCCATTTGTCCTTATTTTAGAGCTTTGGTTCCGAACAGGTAAGACCAGGACACAGGGTGAAGGATGTACCATTTTTCCCCTTTCAGACCAGTTTCTAAAAAAATAAAATAAAATAAAAACTGTTGCAAAGTAAATCTTCCTCAGGAAGACAGGCATCCTTGGTGTCTTTTAAATCAAATTTTGGAGACTCAGCATAAAGAAGTAGCAACTGAAATGAACACCCGCAGAAACTGTGATGATATTTACACATCACCAACAAACTCATCTCTTTCTGGGAATCCAATAGTAGTTTCCAACTTCCATCCTCTGTTACCTGTGTTATATGAGATTGTCTGACATATTTTCTTTTTTGCTGAACTGACCTTTCATCTATAATCTGCCAACCTTTATGTTTTATATGAAAAGTGTAAGCAGGGCAGCTGACAAATCTCCTGTTACTTGATGGCATTTTCATTTTTTTCCAGACTAGATTAATTTGGAAGCCTCTGCAGTCAAGCTTCAAACTTCTTGGTATTCAAATGGCATCACTTTCAAATTGTCAGACAAAGAGTTGCCTGCCTTCATCCATTTTATTCATATTAGCCCATTTAAGCCAACCTGTTTGAAAAAAAAATTTTAAAAAAACCCAAGTCCACATATAGATATTCTAACATAGAAAAAAATCTTTGCTCTGATTGACGTAAAGAACTCTACCAAGTAACCATTTCCATCGTTCCCAAGATATGGTGTATGTTCCACTAATGACAGCCAAAATTATTTTAGGTGGAGTGAAGATGAACCCTTGACATAATGTCAAATAGTTCTGTGCATTTTAAAAATGCACATTTTGGAAAAAATACAATATAACATCATTAAATAATAATATACAGCCTTCATTTCTTAAAATTTTTACTTGTAAAATAAGAGGTGACTAACTCACTCTAGTCAGAATGGCAATTATCAAGAATACAAGTAACAATAAATGTTGGTGAGGATGTGGGGAAAAGGGTACATTACACTCATACATTGCTGGTGGGACTGCATATTGTTGCCACCACTCTGGAAAGCAGTATGGAGATTCCTCTAAAAACTAGGAACAAAACTACCCTAGGACCCAGCTATCCCACTCCTTGGCATATATCTAAAATATCTAAAATCAGCATACTATAGGAATACAGCAATATCAATGTTTGTAGCAACACAATTCGCAACAGCCAGGCTACAGAACCAACCTAAGTGTCCTTCAACAGAAGAATAGATAAAGAAAATGTTATACACACACACACACACAATGGAATATAACTTAGCTATAAAGAAGAATGAAGTGGCATTTGCAGGTAAATGGATAGAACTGGAGACCATCATGCTAAGTGAAATAAGCCAGACCCAAAGAGTCAAAATTCAAATGTTTTCTCTGTTATGGGAAAGTTAGTCCAAAATAAGGAAAAAAAAAATAAAAGTGGCAGTGGGAGGGATTCCATCAAACAGAAAAATCAGTGGAGTAGAGGAAAGGGGTTGAGGGGAGAGGCAGGAGGGACAGGAAAAGGGAAGAACAGTGGAATAAATTTGACCTCAATTTCCTATGTGCATATATGAACACACCACAGTGAATCTTACCAACATGTCTATCCACAGGCACCAATTTAAAAAATGAAAAGAAAAATATAAGTCAATAGCATGAAGATCAGTAAAAGATGGGGATGGGGAAGAAGGAGGGCAGGGGAAGAGGAGGTACTGGGGACTGAATAAAACAAATTATGTCAAAATGAACCCTCATATTACGTACAACTGAAAAGAACTAATAAAACAGAAAACTTTAAAAGATAAAAACAAGTAAGAGGTGACTTAAAGAAAACTTTGAGTCAATAAGAACACAAGTAATTCACAGGCACAGCCAGGTGACGGCAGCAGCCAGGGAATGAATGACATGGACCACTAGCCCGTCAGTCCAGTGCAGAGCAACAGACCATATAGATGAGATGTGAGGGCTCTGAGGCTGCATCTGAATTTCATTCTAGTCTGTATCTTCCAGGCTTCGAGTGTCCCATAAATAAATTCTCATGAAACAAAAGGCAGCAGGATCCTCACTGTGACCTGATAGTTTGAATTGCCCTACACTCTTGCCACTACCTATTTCCCAAAGCAGTCTGGTTCCTTTCAGCTCCCAGGCATCCTCTGGCCCCCCCACCAATAGGCAACATACCCTCTAAGCACAGGGATAAAGAGCAGGGCGGGGGGCATGGCTCCTCCCCTTCACATTCAGGTCCTTCCATAGGGGTCTTCTTTCTAATCTCTGGCCTCTTCTTCTCCTTCCTCAGTCTCCCTCTGGCACCTTCCTCTCCAGATACCGCCTTATTTTGCCATTTTGCTCCTCTCTCTTTATCTGCAGAATCTCCCTCTACAATGCGTTCACACTTACCCATCCCTTGACCCGCACGCACACAGCCACATGTGCCACACACACAACTCTAAACAGGGCTTGACCTTGACCTTGTTGTTTGACATGCTTCCTCCAATCACTTCTAACCTCTGGGAAGAGCAGCTCAGTGTGTACAGCTGGCAGGCTGAATTCAGTCCACAGAGGTGTTATAGTGAGCCCCCAACTGAAATTTTACTTTTAAAAAAAAATGACCTATTAGGAGATCACACACACACACACACACAACACACACAGCCTCTTTGGAAAAAATCAAAAGACCAGGAAACACTGACTTCCATCTTCCATCTTCTGCAGACCTTTCCCCTCCTGTTTCCATTCCTACCTGGCCACTTACTGCATCTTTCTTGCCTGATGGGCCCCTGTATTATCAGGTCTAACAATTTACAGAGAAATGGTTACTCTGGATTTATCCAATGCAACCTGGATTCTCCTTCTAAGAAATTCTCTTCCAAAAGCCTCCCTGGAATGTCACTGATGATGTCCTAATGGCCAAAGTCAAGGCTTTTTCTCTCTTCTCACCTCTGTGGT